TTTTTATCAGCTATTTGGACTCTCATTCTGATGGCACCCATTCACTGCAGAGCATCCATTGGTGAGCAAGTAATGCTGCATTTCTCCAATTTTTTTCTGATGAAGAAACAAACTCACCTACATCCTGGATGGCCGAGGGTGAGTACATTTTTAGCAAAAAATTATTTTTGGGTAAACTATTCCTTTAAATTACAATATTTTCTTGTGAATTCTGTCATTCAGTCTAAAATCCCAATATAAGTGAATACGTGAACACAATAAAACCAATTTGTTTTATATATATATATATATATATATATATATATATATATAAAAATGTCTGGTTGGGCCAAGTTGTCATATTTATTGTTTTACAATTGTTTGACAATTTCATAATTGTTTTGTTTAAATTTAGTTTTATTTAATGGCAGGTTTCATTATGACAACCATCTATCTGTGATATCTGATATTACACTAGTATTTTAAAATGGATACAAAGTGCTTTAGTGCAGTTTATCATAATAAATTAAACAAGACAGAATCTTTTCTTCAGAACAACTGTGTGTGTTTGAATTAATTGTGCTAAAGGGAAATACTCCATACCCTAAAAAGCGCTTAATGGAAGACCGCAAACAATGCAGCTGTTATTTGCCTCAAAATGCCTAGAGGACGCTATTTAACTGATTATCCTGATATGACTTGATCATTAGTCAGAGTAAATTAAATACACTTAACAGTAGGTCCAGATTCATACAACAGTCCCAGTTATGAACATCTTGACCTCAGTAATTGTGGGAAAGGTGAAACCTGTTCCGTGCTGTCCCACAGGTGCTTCCTGCTGTGAAATAGCTCAGATGAACAGCTTATGTAAGACAAGAGTGGGGGGTCAAGGGGCTGGGTGGTCTTTCCCCACTTCTGCAAAAGAAAATGAATCCTGAAAAATCCATAAAGAGGATTAACAGTGAAACACAACTAATCTGTGCTAATGTCTGTAGTAGTAAGTCAGTAACTTTACTTGTATAACACTTTATAAAACAGAGAAAGACAATTATGAGTTAATAACTGACCAATTTTTCTTTTGTCCAGATCTGTTATTCAGAAATACATTAAAAGGTAATTTTATAGACAGTGACTTGAATACACTGATTTCAATGTTTGTAAAAGTCATTTATTCATACAAATATAAATATATATAGGCTATATAATATAGGCCTATTATAGTATATTAGATGTTTTACCTTGAAAACATTAAAACATTTTTTTTTTAAACGTTGTGTACACCCACATGGATTTAAGGTGCAAGGAACCTATTTTGTATTTAGATGTTTTCATCACTTGCCAATTTTACAGTCTTTAATGTAAGTATTTGTGTAAAATGTTAACAAAATTGTAGGAAACTAACATCAATACTTCAACAGAATGTTAACGTTCAATGACCATGGCACATTTAAACAAGATTTTTTTTGAAAGATTCTCCTTTGTATCATCTCAGCATCGTAGACATCCTTATTTAATTGTAAAAGTATACATACATATATATACATATACATATACATATACATATACATACACACACACACACACACACATATATATATATATATATATACATACAGTATATATTTTTTTATATATGTAATGTGGCCTATATTAACTAAATTGTAGAGGTTATATATCACGTAGAGGAAACGATTTTGCACGAATATTTACCTCTGATTGATAATAACACCAAAATATTTGTTTTATTCTCCCCTTTCCACACCCATGCTCAGACCGTAATCCTTGATTGACAGCTGTGACGTCCAATCACAGCGAAGCCTCAAACGCTTTGCGCGGCATTCTATCCGCTCATTTGCATGACACGTCTTTGCCTTCTGACCAATCACAGCGCACTTCCGAGCCGCTTGTTTCCCGCCCTCTTCGCTGTATCCGTTACATTCTTTCGCAGTTTGTATTAAAGGTACTTCCAGTTACGCTTCATACCAGTGAACCCTCAGCATCTTTATTGGGGTTATTACGCGCTTATTAGTAATTCTTTTTTATGTTTATGTTCCTCAAAAGCAGAAGGGAGGAGAGGAGCCCGTCACCCGTCATCAGTAACATCAGTAAACAGCAGGTAGGGATGTTGCTTTGCGACACTAATGCTAATCTGAGGCGGGATGATCTGTAGTGTGCTGGAGACGATGGATGATGGAGATGTGTGGGATGTTTTATACCGATTACGTTTTTTTTATAGCTGGTGTGGCAAGCATCATCCGTTATCACACTTTAAATACGTTTAAATACGATTTTAATGACATAGGACTCCTAGTTTAGCTGCATGCTGTCATTTCGATCTTAAAAACCTCCTCACGTGCTGATCAAGCCCCTAACTGATGTTTATTTTGGCAGTGTGTTGTGCTTTTTTGGCTCTGTGTTTGTTTCACCCGCTAGGTTTTTTAGATTGCTGAAGGCTATTAATGATTAACTATTTTGTTATGCAATAAACCCTTTTAATAAAGGTCGGTGTCTTTGTAGGAGGATTAAATTGTGATTTAATCGATAAAGCCATGCAAAGTCTAGCACCTGTTCTTTACGGTTGTATATGTCGTGTTAAGTCATTTATTTTTTTATTGCTTGAGTATTATTTTGCTTCCTTATTTCAAATAAAAACATTCCAACGTTAATTCAATATATGTAAATTACTTTAAGTCGTTTTTTTAAATTGGGTTAAAGTTCATTCAATTAATTTTTGTGCAGCGCCCTCTTCTGGTCACTGGTGAAAGTGCCTGATTTGCATGTTTCCCGCAGTGTAATTTAGTAGCAGAAAGCGGTGTCCCATGGGATGGCGTGGGATTGTGTGTTTGGATAGCCTACTCAAATAGTATTTTGAACGTACTTTCTTATCAGAACGTTGATTAATGATTAAAGATTTTCCCCTAATTTTGATTATATGTATTTACACAAATTGTA